GATACACCCAAGACTGAACTGCTCGATTTTCATCCCAAGCTTTTTATCCCTTTGGTGGCTCTCTGTCTACCAACACTGTCATCTCTTTTGCCATCTTTCTCTGCTCCCCCACTGCCGGATCCACTATTTTGAGAGAGCAATCAGTGATTTTTGAATGGAACCCATACAACCCTATGTCCCAGCCAAAAAGAACCCCTTGCCCTGCAGAAGCCTTCTTTTCAAGGAGGCATAGAAATCTGACAACTAAGTAGCTGCCAAAAATACCTTGTCTTCAGAAAAAGGAGTGGAATGCACTTTTCTCAGGGAAAAGGTGCAAGCAGGTATCACCCTGACGACTATCAGGGCTGAAGGAGATCTCACAATGTAAACCTTACCACTCTATTTTCACAAACCACAATTACTTGCTCCTTTGCTTCCCCCTGGCAGCTTCTCTTTTAAAGCTGTGAAGAGAAGACAAAGAGAAAAGGTCCATTTGAAGCCATTTTGGGACAGTGCCAGGCTGCACTGCAGGTATTCAACCGCCTCCCCTCCAACACTGGCCTGCCAAGAGTTGCAATTTCTGCAGTTGCACATGTTTTCTTTTAAAGGGCTATCAGTAGCTGTCAAAATGGTGATTGCAAAAGCTGGATGCCAAGCCAGACTTCACAATATTAGAGAGAGGGGAGAGGGGTGCATGGGGACAGGGAAGAGCCCCAGTGGGCCAAAACCAGGTTGTAATTGGCAGGACAGAAGCAAGACAATGTCAAGTGCCCCCAGGTGCTGCTTGGACATCTGCCGAACAGCTGGCCCTGGCAGGTATCTGAGCAGGCTTGGCAAGAGGTGTGAGGGATTTCTTACACTGCTTGCTAGTCTACACATTGGTAACAGGGATTGTTGCCTAGGTTTGAATGAGATGACCACCTGTGGTGGGCCCAACAGCCCTTAGATCAGTCCATGGTTGTCAAGGTGGCTTGTTGCCTTCCAACATCCATCCTGTGGGACTTGATCTGTGTTTGCATAACATAATAACCCATCATGGATTGTTTCCAATGATGGGTAACAATAGCTTTGTCATGTGAAATTAGGCTCCTGACATTAAGCCTCCTTAAAAACAAGGACCTTCCTTGTTTTTCCAAACAGATCTTTGCAGAAATCTGCTCTTTCATCTCAACACTTTTGACTAAAAAAATGGTTTATACTCCTAGTCTTCTTCTTCAGCTATTGCAAACACCTTTTGTCTGAGCTTTGTCACATGCATTATCTCACATTTTCCCAAAATTCTAGTGCCAAAATCATTTATTTCCCTCATCCTTCAGACTATGTGACATTCTTCCTCAAACATCTTCACTAGTTTCCATCCCCCCTCTTGTGACAGATTAGCAAATGTATCCTGGCACGATCACTTTTGGATGTCAGATGCATGGAGTATTACAGAGTATTTCAGGCTTTTTTCTACAGTACTGCTTCTGTTCTTCTGTAAAGCACCACATGCACCCATGATGTTCAACGTATTATTCTGTAATTGTAATTGTAATTGTAATAATAGTAATTGTTGCAGTCACCTCTACATCTCTGCCCCCATAGTTTTGAAATTGTTAATTATGTGAAAAGATTAATGTTTTACTATTAGTTATTCCCCCAACTTTTTGGCATGGATGCATGGATGCTTAATTCCAGGTAAGGTGTGCTAGTATGTTGTAGCTAAAACCAAAACATCTTGTGTTAGCTAAAACATTAACAAGGTGGATTGTGTAGTAGAGCCCACTTAATAAAGGGTGAATAAACAGACCAGAAGCTGTTTGCCAGTAGTTCAGTCAGTGTTTTAATTCTAATTATTTATATCAGACCAGAGGAAATGCTTGCAGTTAAAACATTAGGACTAAGGGCAAAGGAGAGGGACTGCACTGAAGTCTTGGCCTGCTTAAGGGCCAGGAGCAAGGCTGTAATTCCTAGAACTGGCAGCCAGATTACCCAAATGATCTGCACCCATCAAATATTTGCCTTCGACAGGAACCACTATATGACCATGGACAAGTGGAGAAAACCAGAATAAGGTCTGATGACATGCTTGGACATTTTGAGGGGAGCCTTCTAGAAAGTTCAAAAATATCAATAGGAATGAATGAGCATGGAGCTTTTCCCATCATATTTTCTTTTCCTTCTTCCACATGTGCTGAAAAAGCAGGTTGCTTACCTGTAACTGATGTTGTTCAAGTGGCCATCTGTGCAGTCACACATATGGGTGCTGTGCCTGCGCAGTGCCTATGGCCGGAAGATTGCCAGCTAACGGTTTTTGGCAGGAAGCTCCGCTCCCCCTCCCCGCACAGCCTATAAAGAGCGGAGCGTCCACCATTTTATTCAGTCTTTGACGACCAAACGTGCGCCCCCTCGTGGAAAAATTTGTAATTAGAGGTAAGGAAAAAGAGGGTCGGTACCAGAAAAAAGGGAACCTTCGGTACCGATAGATGTGTCCACTCACTGACACCGAGTGGGGCCGGCAGGTGGGTTGTGTGACTGCACAGATGGCCACTCGAAGAACATCAGTTACAGGTAAGCAACCTGCTTTTCTTCATCGTGGCCTCTGTGCATCACACATATGGGTAGATTAACAAGCTTACCATAAAGGAGGAGGGAAGGTGTCCTCAGTGAAGAACAGATGACAGAATGGCTCTGCCAAAGGAGCAATCCCGTCGAGCCCGAACATCGAGACGGTAATGTCTGGTGAAGGTGCAAGGGTTCGCCCAAGTGGCAGCTCAGCATACATCATCAAACGAGACCCCGGATGCAAAGGCAGATAAGGTTGCAACGGCCCTAGTGGAATGGCCTCAAGGGACTGTAGGCAAATCGATCTTAGCCAGTTGATAAGGTTATAGTGTGGACTATCCATTTGGAAAGTCTCTGTGGCATGACTGGATCGCCCTGATCTCTAGTGGAATACTTAACGAACAGTCTATTTGAATGTCGAATACTCAATCCTAGATCTGTAAAAGGCTAAGCAACGTGAATGCAAAGATTTCTCCAGTGGAGTCGACGGTGATGGAAAAAAGGCAGGTAACACAATATCTTGCCCCATATGAAAAGGCGTAGTCACTTTAGGCAGAAAAGATGGGTCGAGGCGTAAAACGACCTTCTCCCTGTGAAAGTTCAAATAAGAAGTTCACTGGCCCTTCGGGCTGAAGTGACCGCCACAAGAAATGCTGTCTTCCATGAAACCAGGCGCAAATCCACTGTAGCCAATGGTTCAAAGGGGGCTTTCGTAGGGGCTTGTAGAACGACAGAAAGACTCCAGCTAGGCATTACTGGTCTGATTGATGGGTTAAGATTATATAGTCCCTTAAGAAATCTCTTGACAATAGGTTGAGAAAAGAGAGGTGATCCGTTGACTAAGCCACGAAAGTAGGCTATCGCTGCCGTATAGACGATGGCTTTAATCCAGAATGGTGCAGTTCTAATAGGAACGGAAGGATTTGATGTATAGATGACATGAATGGAGAGAACGAACGAACGAGACTCGGCAAAGGTGGAAAACCGTTTCCATTTAGCCGCGTATGAGTTCCTTGTGGACGGCTTTAAGGCAGAATCGATGATATGTTCGATATCAGGGTGAAAAGCTGTCAAATTCGACGGGTCGTGTCTTGAATCCAATGGTACGGAATGAACAAAGGAAGAGGAAGCGCCAGAGTGATTGGGTTCAACGACTGGATTCGATTCAGTTGAAGTTGTCGTCAGTACCGGGGGGACAATGGTAGTCATCGGATTCGCCACGCCGTTAGGTTCAACGAGTGCAAGTCCAGATGGCGAAGCATACCGTCCTGTTGGGTTATAAGGTATGGAAGTGATGGTAGATGAAGATATTCCCCATGAGAGATGTCGAGTAGTGTCGCAAACCAAGCTTGGCATGGCCACCAAGGGGCAACTAGTATCCCTGATGCTTGGTCGTGCACTATTTTCGCTATGACCCACATCATAAGAGGGATCGGGGGGAAGGCATAAAAAATCATGTTGTTCCATGGGATCATGAAAGCGTCCCCTAAGGATGCGTGTCCGATTCCCGCTCTCAAGCAGTAAGCATTGCACACCCTGTTCTGTTGG